GAGTTGCCAAGTCGTTGAAAATCACCCACTGTATGGATGAAGCTAAGGGAGACAAAGACAGGCATCAATGTCCCTCTAAAAGTGAGCATCACCGTTGGGCTGAGCCCTTGAAGTGCCTCTGGGTTCTTATTGTGAAAACTTATTTGAATTCAATTCATTTTTGTGGTCACCAACACACCGAGGCAACCTTTGTAGGGTCTGAAGAAAACCCTGCTGTTCACCACCATGTACACACTACATGAACAAAAGTGGACACCTGTACCATCAGCCATAGAAACTCGTGCCACGACGCTCCTGGCACACAGCTTTAGTGTGTTTGAAATCCCTGTTGTGTCAGTGCAGTGTTGCTAAACCTACACAGAGATCATAAGTAGTAATGCCTTTAGTTTTGAACTCACTTTTGCCCTCTACGTCCAGGAGCCTCAGGTCGGCTTCGCTGTGGGCCAAAAGAGACACAATGGGATCGTTGCCCAGCTCAGCAGCTAACATAATCGGAGCGCGGCCCCTTTTGTCCTGCACGTTAGGATCTGCTCCCTTGGAGAGGAGGAAGGCGACGAGCTCTGTGAGGAGAAAAAGAGGAACAATCAGGAGACAGATCATATTTGGGGTTGTGGGAAATTCTCAGACCAACTGGGCTTGATGCAGATTATGTTTAAAAGTAACTGGAAATACATGTTTATACCCCATGTCCTCTTTCCCCAGTGTTACTGCAGGCAGTGATTAAGATGTTTAACAAACTTAATAACATCCATTCCCTTTTCCATTGCGCTGCCGTTTTCGAGAACTCTACATGCTGCCACAAATCTCTGTGGACATATTTTCTTTGGCAAGAAATGCGGCGTGCAAACAAAGACACAAAGACTGAATTCACTAGCTGGGCCCACGTCCTCGTTTTAGGTTTGACAGCGTTTTAGTAGGTAAAAGTGATGCTTGGACATGAATTGAGCTGCAGTTTGGGGAAGGCCTCGAAGGGGACTGGCGACGGCTCCGGGCAGATCCCCGTGGACTAAATAGACATGAAGAAGTTAAAGAATTGAGAACAAGGAGGGACGGTGGGGCACGTAAACGACACTGAACAGTTTGCAGAACTGGGGGAACCTATGCAGATGACAACCGGAAGGAGCGTGTTTGGAGGCGTGGTCCCGCTCCTGAAATTCCGATACATAATCTCCAATGAAATAACCTGCACTGTAAATACCCACAGTGTTTGAGTTGAACAAACGTAGCACAACCAAATGTGTCTGATTGTTGCAGAGGAATGAGTCTGCCACAGCCAGCCCACAGGCACAGATTACCTAGATTGTTGGCTGAAACTGCCGCGTGGAGCACCCCCACGCCGTCCTTCGGCTCCGTGAGACTGATGAGGTCTTCCGCCCCGAGCTGCACCATCTTCTCTATCTGTGCCTTATCCCCTTTATGGACCATCTGAAGCAGGCGGTAGATCTGCAGGGTCTGCAGGCGGCCCTCTGCCACTCCGCTGCTCATTGTGGACTCACTGAATGCTGGTATGAAACAGGAGCTTTCTAACATGCACGCAAACATTTGGTTCTAACGCGTTTTAATTGAATTACAATTTTTAGCTGCTTTCTTTTTCTCTGAAAAACTGCAGTTTAAATAAGCTACTTGTTACCCATGTGAATGGCGACTTTCATACAAAGTGGCCCAGTGCTTTTTCTGGTCTCTTTAAGACAAACATCACCACAGTACATGAAAAATAAAGTCACAAGTATTGTTAAAAATCTGTCAGTACAGACGCAGAAACCCTAAAGCTCGTCACGCACCTTCTGCCCGCAGACACGCACGGGTTACACGGGCTCTCCTTGTTTGACAGACACTTGCTGCTGTGGTCCACAAACCCAGCGACGGTCAGAGACGAGGGTCCCGTCTGTACCCGCTTTTCCTCCCGGGCTTTTCACTTTTCTGTGCGGGCCGTTAGAAGGAAACAAAGTCGGCTCCATGGCAACGGAACGCGCGAAAATCCCGGGCAGGACCTCGTGCCCTCGGCAGCGTCTGATGCTGCTTTCAGGGTCTCTGAAATTGTTGTAAATGAAAGCGTCACCACTTTGCTTCCATTTTCCCCAAATGGAT